CTATGAGTCGTCTGTGACTCGATGGCACCAAACAGCAATAACAACAACAACAACAACAACAACAACATGCCCAAAGCATGTGAGATGAAGCTTCACCCTCCTTGCCTCCAAGGAGCATTCTGGCTGCACTTTCTCCAAGGCATATCTGTTTGTTCTTTTGGCAGTCAATGGGATTTTCAGAACTCTTCTCTCACACCACCACTCAAAGCACCACTCTGTCTTCTGTCGTCCTTGTTCATTGTCCAGCTCCCAGATGCATAGTAGGTGATTGAAAAGACTAGACTTTGAATCAGGCACATCTTAGTCTATAAGTTGACTGACGTCATTGCTCTTCAGTATTCTGGAGAGGTCTCTGACAGCAGACATTGGATGGAAATAATAGTAATTCTACTTTAGGAAACTCTATAAAAACTACATTGAGGCCTTGGCATTACAGTACAGCTTCTTAGCATTAGGCCACCAGCAATGCCTAAATAAATTAATACATATAAAATTCCCAGAATTTTTCCTGACTCATTTTAAGAGCTTAATGAACATTAGAGTTTCCCCCACCACTGTATTATTTTTTTTTCTATAGATGAATACAGAAAGGAGTTGAATGATAGTGTGTACTGTCTGGCTATTGTTAAATCAGTGGAAATATAACTCTTAACTCCTGCTGTGCAAGTTGGTTGGCCATTTCTAGAAATGGTTCAATAAACTAGAACGAAAATGTTCTCTTATTATATACTTAATGTTTGTGTGCTAAGACTTACACGTTGACTCTAGCGTCTGTACCTGACACAATTCTTTTTCTTGACCTTACCGAGACTGAGGCAGACAGTCCCAAAGGACACTGGAGCCAAGATGGGACTGGGTGTTTGACACTCCTCATCACTAGTATTTTAACAATACACTAAATTACCGACTTTAAATTCCCACTAATTTTTATGAGCTGCTTCGTCTTTCCAAAATCCTGGCTAGCATGAAGCAAGGGAAGTTAATGCATAACATCTAGCTAGCCTTGCTTTGGATGATGGTCAGGAAACTGAAATGTCAAGTTGTGGGAAATTGACTTGAAGTGGTGGCATGTGGCCACAGCCCCACAAATTGCTTTGGGCCCTCTGGAGCTGTGGTCAGAGCAGGCTTTGCTTAAACTGTATCCTACTGGCTCATCTTTGATTCCAAGGACCTCTCATGCTTGTATCCAATTATATAGTTGGTGGTAAATCCTGCTCATTGCCAGAAGAACTATGGTCAGCTTTTTTAAGCTTTTCTTTTGTGTCGTAAATGAATAATAAATGTGTATACTGGCTTATTATCTGCACATGTGTAACTCCGTGTGTACTCATGGAAGTCGTATATTCTGTATACACTTCCTTTGAAGTGCATTAGGAGTTTCACTGAATGATTTGACACACTCATCCTTTTTGAGATCTGAGGTTATATCCTCAGGTGAGCATTCCTTTTCCCTTTAATGTTTCTGCTAAGTTGGCAGGGATCGGAGGTGGGGGAAGTTAATTTAAAGTAATTGAAAGCTGGGCTCTGGTCCTGGCACCACCACTAATAGCTGTGTGACCTTAGAGGGAGCACATGGCTTCTCTGTGCCTTTGTTTGCCAGTAGAATATATGCACTTCTCTGTAAAATTTGAAGATTAAAAGAATTGATTTCTTCGTTTCCTTTTGCTTTTTATTTTCAAATGGTGCCGTATTTGGTTTGGGGCTTGATTGCTAACTGAAAGTAGACAGCCCAAACCCACAAAGATGTGACAATCTACTTCTGTAAAGATTGTCAGCCTTGCGAGACCTAAAGTCAAAGGTTTTCTTGACTCATAAAAGCAGATTGCCAGCCTTATCTTCCAAGATTCATCTGGATTCGAACTTCCAACTTTGAGGGTAGCAGTTGAGGGTGAATAATTTTCTCAGAAAACCCTATGAAACCATTCTGCTCTCTAATATGTGAGGCTGCTGTGAGTTGAGATTGACTCCATGGCACTCAGTCTTGTTTGGGATTTAGTTTTAGATGATATTTTCTACTTTACATAAAATATTTTCACATACGTTATTTCATTTCTGCTTCTCACTGATTTTTTTAGGCCATTATTGCTGAATTTCACATCAAGGAGGTGATTTGCATAGGTCCATGGACCTCTCGAGGGGCAGGGCCTAGATTAAAATTCAGTTTTTCTGACATTTGGCACTATGTTTTAGGTCTGTATCTGAGATATGTATGATTTATTATACAGCAGCTGTCAAGGGAGAAAAAAAGAGGCTCAAGTTCTTTACTTGTTGGTAAGACATAATACTGATGAAGATAAATGTGAGCTTTCCTAGCACCAAATAAGAGCCACAGTTCTGATCTCATCTCGAGGAGAAAATCATTCCAAGAAGGATCAGGTTGCTCAGACATCACGACAGAGAGAGAGAGAGAGAGAGACAGAGAGAGAGAGAGACAGAGAGAGAGAGAGAGAAAGACATTCCCAGGTATTTCTGCTCAGAGAGATGAAGGCTTCTGCAAAAGCTTCTATTAGGTGTTTGAATAAATATGAAGACTAAATCAATGCCACATGTCACTTGAGGAGAACAAACTTGAATTTACTTTGAATAGTTAATCATTGCAGATGAGCAAAAGATAACTCACTGTGGATAAATATTTCTATGCAGTTCATTTGTTAATATGTAATGTTAAGCATACCTATACATAGGTTTTTTAATATATATATCATCTTTAGAAATGGAGCCATTAGACTCCAAAAGAATTAGCTGTGGAATGGTTTTTTGCTTTTCTCAAAGCAATAGGATGTAATTTCCATGTTGCTTGTTTTGTCATCTAATGGGTGGGTCCGTAATCTCTACTCTTGGACTTTTCAGGTAGAAAACATATTGTCTTGTGCTGCCAAGTTGACTACAACTCATAGCCACCTTATGCACAACAGCTCCGAACCCTGATCTATCCTGAGCCAATCTCACTATATCTGACACACCTACCCTCCTTACCCCTGTCATGAAGTGGCCTGATTATGCTAACGATGGGAATTTACTTCTCTCTTTTTTCACTCCTATTATTAAAGGATTGCCTATTCCACCCTGACTCATCTAAACATCTTTTCCCAAACAAAAGGATACGTCCATAGAGATAATTTTCTCTCACTCATTATTGAATCTGAATCAACTCATAACTGACTCTGTGCTGAAGTTCTGAAGCTGGACACCAGACAGAAAGAAATGACCTGTCTTTCTCCTGCAGAGCTGCTGGTGGCTTAGTGCCATCAGAGCAGTGCAGCCTTCAGGTTACTGCAACTTGCTACTAATGATGCCACCAGAGCCCCCTACACACTAAGTTCAAAGAAATTTAGAATGATTCCATTGGCTAATGCTGTATCAAGGAAGAATCGAACCCTGCTCTGACTGTAAAAGGGATTGCAGTGAAAGATTTTGGATTGAGTGAGGGAAATACGAAGCAAAACTTTAATTGCAACATAAAATCAAACCAAACCAACATAAAAATGGCCAGGTTTACTAGTCCAGTGTAAACCAGTAGAATACTCAAGACTAGGGCCCTCTGTAGGGAGCTCTGGTGATAGAGTTTGAGTTCATTGCTAACCTGAAGTCTGAGCCCTCTGTTGTTTTGAATCCACCAGAAGCTCTGAGGGAGAGAGTGGGTGATCTCCTCCCATGTGATTTACAGCCTCCAAGAAACCCACTGGATGGTCAGTAATTTCTGATTTAATGGTGATGAGATAGTTAAATTATGGCCCTTAGTTAATATTTGAACCAGAGATAAAATGTACCCTCATTGGTCAAATTCAATCAACCAATAGGCCTATAACATCAGAAAGGCACTTATTCCTTAAAATAACGAATAATGTAAGGCCCAAAGTACAGCATTTACTCAAGAAGGTATCCCAGAATGCAGTCATGGGTAGGATAGAAGGATCCATGGTAATAAGAATTAAAGGAAAAAAGTGGGGAGAGTTTTATTACATTGTGGATGTTGTACTTAATAGTCTAAAATATTATGTATATGAAATGTTGTAATTAATATTCCAAAATAAAATGTATATGAATTGTTGACTAGAATATCAATTTGCTTTGTAAACTTTTGCTTAAATCACAAAATTAAAATGAATTTGTTTTGAGGTTTCAGAAGGCCACTGGCTTTCAGAGACATGAAAGCGTTAAGTGATTAACAGTTTTCTGTGCCATGTCATTTTAAGGTCAAGTCTACAATGACTTTACCAAATACTTCAATTCTCATCTTGACTCAAGTGAGTTGGTTGTGTGGCCCTGGGCTAGTCATTTAACCTGTCTCAGTCTGACTGTCTTTACTGGTGAAATTAGGAACTTGAGGACTGAATTTCACTGACTCAACACTGACTGTCTGTGACAGACAAGGCCCTGTGGCTCATGTAAGTGTTAATGCTTTTTTGAGTACATGTAATAAGATTAACAAAGAGCAATAATACAGGAAGCAAGGGCTCCTTCCTCAGAGCCTCTCTGTCACTGCTGTTGAATGAGAACAAACTCATAGCTGATCGTCCCTTGGATTTCTGAGGCTTTGCACTGCACAGGAGGAGATCAAGAATCTTTCTTCCAGGAATAACTGGTGGATTCAGACCACCAGGGCTTGAACACCAGTGTAAGAGACACTGGGGGATTCACACTGCCAGAGAAGTGTGTGCTTTGGGTTGCCAGTACAATTCCCATTGTTACTATTCTACCTGAGCTCCCTAATCTTGGAGTTGTTGTTAGGTGCTGTCAAGTCAAATATGACTCACAGCAACCATATGAACAACAGACCTGAACCCTGACCTATCCTGTGCCATCCTTACCAACTCTGACACACTTGATCCCACTGATGCAGTCACTCTCTCTATCCATGAGGTGGGGAGGCCTATATAAGCAAAACTCGTTGAGGAAAACACAAAGGAAAGAAAATAACAATGATAGTTTTACTTCATCAGAAAGAAAACATCAGCATGTAGAAAAGAAGACAAATAATAAATTGGGTAAAATATTGGCATCTTTCTTAAAGACAAGTCAACGTTAGTGTTGTTGTTGTTATGTACCACTGAATTGGAACTAACTTATAGCTGACTCTCCAGCAGGTTTCCAGAGGCTATTGTTGAGTCTGAAGGAGATTGTGCCTCTTACTCCCACAGAGCAGCTGGTGGATTTGATCTGCTCGCTTTGGGTTGGTGTACAACTCCTTACCCCTAAGCCACCGGAGCTCCCTAGAATTTTACAACTAGTACTAAATACACTAATACCAGTAAATTGATGGGAAAAGAAAAGAGAGTAATTCCATATAAATTTGAATTATCCCAATTAAATTTGAAAATCAGAAACAACTGGAAAACTCCCAGTTCCCTAAAAAAAAGTGAACTATAAAAATATTGAGATGCCATTTAAATGGACATGCAATAAAAGGTAATTCTCAGTAATCTGATTGTAGAAGTTTAAATTGTTTGTTGTTTTGGTTTTTTTTTTTTTTTTTGCAATTGATTTGGTATTATATACAGAAAAATATTGAAAAAACTCAAAACCTTTGGCCACAGAAATTCTGCTTCTAGAGTGAGGAAGTCATAAATCATGGCCAGAACACGAAACAATGCTTGTTCTTCCTGGTAAATGAACAGAGTAATGTGACAGCCCACCCCTGTTACCACCACTCCATTATGGGTTGATTAGAGATTCAAGGAGATAATATTTTCTACCACTTTTGGCAAAGTGGAGCCACACTAGACAATGCACCAGACAGAAGGCCCTGAACAACCCATTTGTCTAGGCCAGACATCTGACAAACATCTTTTATTACAGTTTCCCCTGAAATACAGGAGGGGATGCAAGCCAATAGACCATACAAGAAATCTCCACCAGGCCTGTTTAATGTAAATAGAGAACCAGGGATCATTCCCTGAGGTTTTATGCTAACCTAGACCGTTATTTTATGGTGCTGAGAGGAAATGAATGGGAAAGCTTTATGAATAAGGCTCTCCACTGAGATGCTTCTGAAGATTATTAGGGTCCAGAGAGAGAGCATCCCCTTTTTCTAAACTCTGACGACTTTGACAGACTTCTCTCTGGCAAAGCATTGTGCATTCTAAAGTTGATGGAACGTTTCTCTCTTTTTTCCATTTTAATGGACAACAGTGTGGAAGTAATTCGTCTGGGACACAGTTACTTCATAAACTGGGATCGGAGGATGTATTACTCTGGGAAAGCAACACCTGCTGAAGCTCGAACGACGACACTCAATGAGGAACTGGGCCAGATTGAATACATTTTCTCCGACAAAACGGGCACCCTGACCCAAAACATCATGACTTTCAAAAAATGTTCCATTAATGGGAAGAT